GCAACCTTTTGAGTAATAATCCCTTTTTGGACGATATAAGAACACGCGCACTTGATCATCATAAAAAAAAAAAAAAAAAGATTAGGAAATCAAGCTACACTTTTATGTAACTCTTGTGCATATACATTAAATTCAATAAGTATCTTAATTTTATATATCGCTTGAAACAAGAACATCCTTCTCTGACATAAACTGTCTGATTATTCTTCGATTTGTCTATTTCCAATTTGTTTATGAAAAAAAAAAAAAAAAAAAAGACAGCATACCAGTGATTACAAATCAAAGACATCAAAATAATATTTTTGCATTGCTTCGACTATCAGAAACAACTTTCCAATCACGTATATCAGATTGTCTCACATGTAAGCAGCAGACGTCAAATTAGTTAAAAACTGTAATTTTGTGACATCGGATTCAACACAGACACGCAAACAGTTGTCTACATTTGATTTTGCTTCTGTGTTTGGTTAACTGTCAGGCAAGCAGCGAAACAAATTCCCCTGTTCTGGTAGGCCGCGGGTGTAAAATGGCTGACAACGAATGTGTTAGAGTTTATGTGTTATCTTCTTCTTCTACCTTCTAGCCCCCAATGGAGCATAGACCCTCAACCTAAGCCATTCAGTCTATCCTTCGCTATCGCATGCAGCTCTCCCACTCTCTAGCTCCCTTGTCCGTGTGTTATTTGGTCTTACTTTATTTCTATGCCAATGTGGGTTCATGTGCGAAGACATTCTACTTAAATTGTTCTCAGGTTTTCTCAACGCGTGTCCTATCCAACGCCAGCGTCTTTTCTTCACCTCTTGGTCAACTGTAACTTTTTTTTATTTCTCTTCCAAAGGTCTACATTAACACTGCTTTACTCAAGCTTTACCTACATGTTCACCTTCTGTTTCGCTGTTCTAATTGACGCTTTAATTATTTTAGGACTCACATCTTCCCATTCTATTAGTGCCTCTCTGTATCTTTAAGAGAGCATCAAAGCCACTCCTTCACTGTGGAGAGAATTTTTCTCTGTATGTCCTGAGAAAAAAGTTTTCCCTGAGTTTGGAATACTTTTCTCCGCCCCGGATCATCTAGTTTCACGTTTTTCTAAAATACAAATCTTATAGTGTTTTATTTCCCTTAATACTTCCATTACCGTACAAAGTTCTAACCTTTAAGGTGCTTTTTCTGGAGATTAACATGGGTGAAAGGAGGTGCGTCGACGATGTGGACTTCGTTGGGCTTTCTGAGGACCGTGTCATATTTCCTCAACTAGAAGAGTCTCAAGTCATGTTGGTTGGGTTTTTCTTGTTTTAACCCCAAACCCAACACTAACCTTAGTCGCCTCTTACGACATATCTGGTAGTGTGCAGTATTACCATTCTTTGCTTCCTGTGAGGGTGCCGGTATGAGGGTGGTATCTGTTATCAGGAAAGACATAATTGGTTTTATAGCTACAAATGCCCGGCTTTCTAGCGTAGTTGGCTAAACCGGATTGCGCTGTGACCGGATGACGAACTCCTTGTGGTCCGGGTTCACTTCCGGGGGTGGGCAGAAAAGCCACATTTCTCCCAGATTTACGATATTTAAAATGGAATCAAGGCCGAAAGGTTGCGATGTCCATAATACCGAGCCTAAGGGTTAACAATTCATGGCTTCTGGATACTAAAACAAACAAACAAACAAACTATCTACAAATAATAAGACAGGGTTGGGTGTCAGAAAGACTTGTGGGGTGGTTGGGGGGGGGGGGGGGTGTAAATCTGGTCACATATGTGCCCTGTAACCATGTATATACATTTTATATTATTTCAAATGTATTGTTATATATATTTGCCATTCAGCACAATAATAATAATAACATTGATAATAAAATAACCATATTTAAACATAACAAGGGGCTGAATGGCAAATAAACCTACTTGAAATAACGTTCCAAAAATCATGGGAGGTTTGGGGGGGGGGGGGGGGGGGGGCACTCAAGGACCGATGCCGGCATAATTGTCGGCCTAATTGTTTGTAAGGTGGTGAGAGGAGGACGGGGTTGTGGGCCCCCAAATGTTGTCTTACTTTATTGTGCGGAAACGGGGGGGGGGGGGGGGGCGAAAAAGGAGTTGGCTGAATGGTCCTGAGGCCCCGCCAAATATTTGGCTAGGTGGTGAGTGGCTTCTTAAAACCTATGAGGCTCCCCTCCCCACCGCCATTATGCTTTCTTTGTGGTAGCGCGCCTGCAACCAACCAACGAATGAACAAACTAATCAGTCTGTCATCAAACTAATCCACCCACCCACCAACCAACCAATCAATTTGCCCATCAGCCTGTCATCACACTGACACACCAATCAGCTAACCAACCTGCCTGTCATCCAACGAATCCATAAATCAACCAGCTAAACTTTCTGTCATCCAGCTAATCCATCAATCAATCAACCAAACGAACAGACTGTAATCAAACTAATCCACCAGCCAATCAACCAACCAGCGAAAGAATCAACCAGCCAACAAGTAAACAACCAAACAATCAGCCAGTGAAACAGTCAGCATATCATCCAACATGACCAGCAACCAATCAACGAATCAGCAAACAACACAATCAACAAATATGCTAGTCACACTATCATCCAACGAATCCACCGACCAACCAATATACGCCGATTATCCAAATAACACACCAACATATCATGAAGCTAACCATTCAACGAACCCACGAAAGAGTCGACAAATTAAAGAACGAATCAACGAACCAACAAACACAGAAACGAGCTAAACAGTCATCGTTACTTCTGATTTTATTAATGAAGTGTTTTGCGTTTCTCTTTCTCGTGGGATTTTTGTTATCGTTTGGCAAAGAATAAATAAGGATGTCCCTACCCCACCCTCTATTTCCATACAGACATCGCAGGATTATTATAAATCATTCAACAATTAGCAGAGTTAACACTCTGGGGTAAATGGAGGAACGTCGTTGTAGCTACGGAGGTTCGTGCGGACGTCGACACAGGCGGATAGTTTCTTATCAGCTGTCCCTACTGGTAGCAGAGCACTTTATAACTGTGTGCAATGGCGCTAGTTCACATCTCCCGACTTTACCTTTACAATTATGAATTTCACGCATTTCTTGTACTGGTGACAAATCATAAAGAAACACCACCCTAATGTAAAAACATGGCCAAACTTTAGTAATTTTCGAAGGCGTCGTGTAAAAACCAATGCGTTCATACCCGGGGTCAAAAGGTGACAATGTGTAATAGCTTCGTGAACTTTGACACTTGACAAACCCCGGGATCAGGTATTAGTTAGTGTTATACAATTGTATGTTGCAAACATTTAGTAAATTCTAGTAAAATGTGGTTTTTAAGGGCCAGACGATGTCTGTCAGTTAAACCGTGTGTATGAAAATCTTGTTACTTGACCAAATGATGCAGAGCACTTCATCACTGGTAAGTGGAATCACACAATACACTAAGTCCTCAACATTGTCATGTGCCATGCCTTTAGGCGCAGTCTATGACTATTCAACTGCCGGCCCGCGGAGGCCTCGAGTGTGGCTCGCTGATCATTGCCATTACCAGTGTATTAATGATCTTTCTATGCTGAGTCTCGGACTTCTGACCCGTGACGATCCCCATTTTCAACAATTTGGCCCCTGGTTAACTCTTTGAGTCCCGGGGGATTTAGCATCACAGGCCCAGTGGGTAGTAAAGAAAGTAATAAAATCGGCGCATCATGCGTTCATTGGGCTTCTAGGTAGGGACCTATGAACGTATGATGCGTTCCTTGGGACTCAAAGAGTTAAACGTAATTGAATAGCCCTGACGTAGATTGTCATTTTCACCATCATACACAATCACCAGAATCATGGAACAGTTCAATGTTTCTGTCTCGCCACATCCGTCCGGCTAGGTGATCATTGAAATGATCTCTTTACCTTCCCCTTGCTCTCTTTCCACCAGTCGTGCTTGTTGTTACCAAGTTCTGGAGTCCATCGTCTCTCATATTGACTGTCTACATCTTATAGTTCTAATGAGTTGAAGACTTCCATCTATCTTGATTAGGACTGTTACTGTTTTGTTTGTTTTTCTATCCTTCTATGATATTCTTTGCATTCTTCTCAGAAACCAGATCTTTGCTGTGAGTAAATGTTTTTCAATTTGGTTGCTTAGCAGTACAGATTCTACACATCACTTCAACACTCTTTTTGTCACTGCCATTTACATCTTCTTGTTGGTGAAAATCTTGTTCAACTTGCTAAAGGTTCCCTTTGCCCTGGCCATTATTGTTCTAATTTCAGCAAGGCATCTTGCATCAGAGGTTTTGACTGTTCCAAGATGTTTGTATCTATTCATCAGTTCTCTTTGTACCTAGTGGCACATGAGGCTTCAGAGAGGACTTAACTGTCCTGTGCAGTCTTCAGTGCAGTTGTCCATATCAGAGATGACTCATTCAGGTTATGTTCCATCATTCATCTCCATGTTGTTTTTGGGCACCTTTCTTTTTTGTTTTCTCTATGAGATGTAATTTGGCCTGCCCCAACCTCAATGAAGACAAGGCTGTATGGTTCGAGGAGATTTGTACTGCACGATAGCTTTCATAATGACTACTGATCTCCTTATTTTAGTTTTCTTTCAGAAGGATCGATGGAGAAGACAATGGATGATATTTTGTGACATAATAGTCGTCCTCATGTGGGATACAATTTTTTGTTATTTGAAGCCCCACCCTGGCTTCTGCCGGGGGCCCTGAATATAGCCGGGGCCCGGGGCATAGATATGGCCTAGCCACTGACAAGGGGCCGCATTTCAGCCTGGCCATAAATATGGTCTAATGGCTGAACGCGGTTTCTGGGACCTCTCTATGGGAGATCCTCATCCGCATGGTGGCACTTTGTGTCACCGGGTGTTTATCGCTTGTGTGATGTCCTGTTGGGGTACATCTACCTACCATTATTTGACATCATTATATTCTTTATCACCCAGAAATAAATGATTTGACATTCATAATTTCTTCTTCATCCAGACATGGCTGTTCAGCTCCTAGACTATCGCTGTGAAATTGATGAGACAAACATCAAGGCTGCATGTTACTTTCCAGGAATATCATATGATGACTTTGATAGAGCTGGTAATTTATTTAACATGAACCTTACAGAATCATAAAATAATAATGAGAAGACTTATTCTTCTGCTTCATCATCATATTCTTTTTCTTCTTCTCTTCTTCTGTGTTTGTCTTTAAAAGAGTGGTTGGCATAATGTATTGTAGTTACAGCTAGGCTGTGATATCTGTGCCTTTCGGCTCAACACATTTGATTTCAGCATATTCCAAATTAGTTGTCTTTTATGACGCGCTTGCTTGGGGCAGTGGGTCTGTTTCCAAACCCCACTCTAAATTGGGGTCCCAAAACCCACACAAGGAAAATAACATCATTGAACTTTTTGAACTATGAAAGTAAATAAATATATTGGAAGTCAAGATAGCTTTTTTCTGGCTGTACACAACGATACACAGTACAAACATTTTTTTAAAGGAATTATTATTGTTTTCAATGCTGTTGTAATAGAAAAATTTGAGACACTGTGTAGTGAGTACCGACACGTTTTTTTTTAGAACAGGCCCTGGAAGTGTATAATATCAAAAGGAAAGATGATGATGAAGGGAAACGACCACCCGACCTCATATGTTATAACCTTGAATGTGTGGTCTAAGTGATGAAGAAGGGAAACGACCACCCGACCTCATATGTTATAACCTTGAATGTGTGGTCTAAGTGATGATGAAGGAAAATGACCACCTGACCTCATATGTTATAACCTTGAATGTGTGGTCTAAGTGATGACGAAGGGAAACGACCACCCGACCTCATATGTTATAACCTTGAATGTGTGGTTTAATATTTCCTATTTTGGTTACTTTTCTACTTTTACCTGTATTTATGTGGTTACATCATTTATTGGATACAACAAACTCCACAACCATTGTACAAAAAATTCAACATTGAACACCGCCCTTGTAGGCAGGCACCATAAAATAGCAAACATCTGCTGCAGACATGCTCTCTGCATACAATAGGGCTACTGGTGACCCTCGGCCCTAACCTGGCCAGTGAAGGCTATCAAGTGGCCCACGAATCATTGCTGTTGTATTGTAGTAATGAACTTTCTATTCTGGGAGCTCAGGCCTCTAGCTCTTGACTACTTCCACAAGTTTTTACCCCTTAGTAAACTTAGCTGAATATCCCTAGAACAGAGAGATCCCAGGTCTGTCATGTAACTAGTTCTGTGGAAACCAAGTTCTGTGTACCAGCAGAGTACATGTGTTGCACCACAATCTTCACAGAGCTCTGTGGCTTTCTCGTCTGAAAACTACCAGCAGTGATAATTAAAAAAAAAAAAATATGAACACATGATTAATTCGCAGTAAATGCTCACAAAATTTCAGATAAGAAAAAAATTAATAATAAAATTTCTGCTCCGTTGAACCTCCTGGTTATTAATTGATTTCTGACATTTTTGTTTTCATTAATTAATTTGTTTAGACTTTTGAGATTTGAAAAAAAATGCAGGCTTTTTCAAAGTTTTGATGCCAAATTGCTTTTTTTGTCATATTTCTAGGTAATATTTCCCCGTGGAAAATCTCCAGAATGTTTGAATCAGGCAGGAGTATTCTGTTTAGAAGATTCAACTATTTAGATGTGTCTGAACTTAAAGGTGACAACGCTTTCACCCATTTTATTCTGGGTAGCCATTATACCTTTGATCCATGTCTGTGGAATATGTTTTCGAAGGATAAAAACTTTCCTTTTAAGGTGAGGTTTTAGTGTATGCTATCTGGAAATGACTGTATAATGAGCATGGTTGTATATAATAGTTGTGGTTATGACACTGAGAAAGCTATGCTGGTGCATCTATGACACTGAGAGCTATGCTGGTGCATCTATGACACTGAGGGCTAAGCTGGTGCATCTATGACACTGAGGACTATGCTGGTGCATCTATGACACTGAGAGCTATGCTAGTGCATCTATGACACTGAGAGCTATGCTCATGCATCTATGACACTAAGGGCTATGCTGGTTCATCTATGACACTGAGAGCTATGTTGGTGCATCTATGACACTGAAAGCTATGCTAGTGCATCTATGACACTGAGGGCTATGCTGGTGCATCTATGACACTGAGAGCTATGCTGGTTCATCTATGACACTGAGAGCTATGTTGATGCATCTATGACACTGAAAGCTATGCTGGTGCATCTATGACACTGAAAGCTATGCTGGTGCATCTACGACACTGAGAGCTATGCTGGTGCATCTATGACACTGAGAGCTATGTTGGTGCGTCTATGACACTGAGAGCTATGCTGGTGCATCTGTGACACTGAGAGTTGTGCTGGTACATCTGTGACACTGAGAGCTATGCTGGTGCATCTATGACACTGAGAGCTATGTTGGTGCGTCTATGACACTGAGAGCTATGCTGGTGCATCTATGACACTGAGAGCTATGTTGGTGCGTCTATGACACTGAGAGCTATGCTGGTGTATCTGTGACACTGAGAGCCGTACAAGCATAACTAGCAGCAGAGCTTCTCAAGCTGGATAGGTCAAAGGACAGAGAACAAAGAGAACATCCAGGTCCTCCAGGTTGGGGGTTGAAGATGGAAACTGACACCGCCACCTGTGTAAAAAAATCATTTCAACAGGAAGCAGATATCTAAGACTAGAAATTAGACTGATAAATGGGCGCTGGGGATATACAACAATATGTATGTTGCAGTGAACCTCATGGTCTCAGAATGCTATAAAAGAAAAAGTAAACAGTGTTTTGTCTAGAGAAAGGTGATGGTAATCACTACAATGTGTTCATTGCAGCAAGCCTGAAAAAAATGTTTCTTTAAAAAAAAAAAAAAAAAGATGTTGATCCTGTGTACCGACAGCAAAAAAGCCCTGGTTGTAGGTGCTAAAGGTGCCTAAAGAGGGTGCTGAAATGTTACATAGAACCTGTTCTGCTGTATGGCAACTAACAATGACTGTTTGAAAAAACCTAATGAAAGTAGATCTCTATGTACAGCACTAAGAAAGAGACAAACACTGTTCTTTGGCCACATAATGAGAAGAGAGACATTGGAGAACATCATGACAACTGGAAAGATCATATTTTTTTACTGTGACCAACGGGGTGTTGTGAATTGTAGATTCAGAAAATTGTGCGTGGCCTGTTGTCGCAATTTTGGTCGTGCCCTTATGTGATTAAAATTGATTGCCTGTGCAACTGCTGATCTGTTGGTAACTGCTGCTACTGTCGATGATGAACTGCATTTCTTTTGTTCGACTGTATTTTTTTGAAAAAAGTACATCTTTTGTGTGTGTGGACACCCTGTATGTAAGTGTGTAGAAGGAAGAGTTGTGGATGAGAGTTGTTTGTGGGGGGGGGGGGGGTCAGGACATTCTCTGCAGCAGGTACCACATGACCTGGGTGTGTCTAAATGTGCATTGTTTTCAAAAGAAATCAGAGCAATATTTTGAAGTGGTCAACATAACTTAATGTCACAGGAACTCCTGAACACCTGCACTTGTGAACCAGAGGACAGAGTATTCAAACCCATAGTCTTCAGAGGAAGAATCAGATGGCCTAATTACTTATTCACACAGACCCTATATATGAACTAGATTGGTCAGTTGAATCAATTACATGTGTGGGTTTAGGGCAAAGATTAGATCTCATTTCCACCTGACAAGCATGTTATAAAAGGTGATTAATTAGGGTTTTACTGAAATCAGATGTCTCAGGCTGAAAGGTCCGGATACTGGAGCCTAGCTGTAAACCACAACACAACATGTCAACCAACCTTTTAAGGGCAAATGCAGAAGAAGAAAAAGAAGAATTTAGTAAATAATTTACAAAAACAAAAGAAATAAAAAGGTGATTTAAAAAATTAAAATTAGACTCCTGTCTTTTATTTTTTTTTTCACAGGTAACAAGTGAGCTGATAAACCTTGGCCAGAAATCTATTGCCTTCAAAGAAGTTATCATAAATCTCCTGGACAATAAACAGCTAGCATCCTATACTGGAAAGCTGGTTTATATCGACCGTAAAACAAAGCGACCGAAAAATTATCCATCCTGGCATAGTCTCAAATACAGCCATGCCCCGACTGACAATGATGTTAACATTTCTGTTAATGTGACCTACATTCCTGAGACAGCTTTCACTGTAAGTTTAGTATTACTGTCTTCCAAAATGCTTGAGGTAAGTTAACTTGAGAATTGACCTCACAGCACTCAGGACATTCCCATAAGCACTCCGTCTTTATCTTCAGCAGCCAGCGAAGAGTACCAACTTTGATGGTGTCAGTAGAATATGTTTATACGTCCGCTTTAGCTTTGCTTTGAGTACAGAGGGTCAACCAGATTCGCCTGGCCACTCCTAGCTGTATCTTTCTCTCCCGACCTAGTGATCTATTAATTTAACTCTTTCACAACAGTTGCAATGAACAAATAACTAGGCCTTTCAGAGAGGCAATCTGTTTAGTTCTAATATACACCAGACTGTCTGATATAATTCTAGCCAGACTTCTTGAGTATTGTTATATAAAATCTTATATATATGACCAAATACTGTGTGTTGTTATATGAAATCTTAAATATATGACCAAACACTGTGTGTTGTTATATGAAATCTTAAATATATGACCAAACACTGTGTGTTGTTACGTGAAATCTTAAATGTATGACCAAACACTGTGTGTTGTTATATGAAATCTTAAATGTATGACCAAACACTGTGTGTTGTTATATGAAATCTTAAATGTATGACCAAACACTGTGTGTTGTTATATGAAATCTTAAATGTATTACCAAACACTGTGTTTTGTTATATGAAATCTTAAATGTATGACCAAACACTGTGTGTTGTTATATGAAATCTTAAATATATGACCAAACACTGTGTGTTGTTATATGAAATCTTAAATATATGACCAAACACTGTGTGTTGTTATATGAAATCTTAAATATATGACCAAACACTGTGTGTTGTTATATGAAATCTTAAATATATGACCAAACACTGTGTGTTGTTATATGAAATCTTAAATATATGACCAAACACTGTGTGTTGTTATATGAAATCTTAAATATATGACCAAACACTGTGTGTTGTTATATGAAATCTTAAATATATGACCAAACACTGTGTGTTGTTATATGAAATCTTAAATATATGACCAAACACTGTGTGTTGTTATATGAAATCTTAAATATATGACCAAACACTGTGTGTTGTTAAATGAAATCTTAAATATATGACCAAACACTGTGTGTTGTTATATGATATCTTAAATATATGACCAAACACTGTGTGTTGTTATATGAAATCTTTAATATATGACCAAACACTGTGTGCTGTTATATGAAATCTTAAATATTTGACCAAACACTGTGTGCTGTTATATAAAACCTTAAATATATGACCAAACACTGTGTGTTGTTATATGAAATCTTAAATATATGACCAAACACTGTGTGTTGTTATATGAAATCTTAAATATATGACCAAACACTGTGTGTTGTTATATGAAATCTTAAATATATGACCAAACACTGTGTGTTGTTATATGAAATCTTAAATATATGACCAAACACTGTGTGTTGTTATATGAAATCTTAAATATATGACCAAACACTGTGTGTTGTTATATGCAATCTTAAATATATGACCAAACACTGTGTGTTGTTATATGAAATCTTAAATATATGACCAAACACTGTGTGTTGTTATATGAAATCTTAAATATATGACCAAACACTGTGTGTTGTTATATGAAATCTTAAATATATGACCAAACACTGTGTGTTGTTATATCAAATCTTAAATGTATGACCAAACACTGTGTGTTGTTATATAAAACCTTAAATGTATGACCAAACACTGTGTGTTGTTATATGAAACCTTAAATATATGACCAAACACTGTATGTTGTTATATGAAACCTTAAATATATGACCAAACACTGCATGTTGTTATATGAATTCTTTAATATATGACCAAACACTGCGTGTTGTTATACGAAACCTTAAATATATGACCAAACACTGTGTGTTGTTATATAAAACCTTAAATATATGACCAAACACTGTGTGTAGTTATATGAAACCTTAAATATATGACCAAACACTGTGTGTTGTTATTTGAAACCTTAAATATATGACCAAACACTGTGTGTTGTTATATAAAACCTTAAATATATGACCAAACACTGTGTGTTGTTATGTGAAATCTTAAATATATGACCAAACACTGTGTGTTTTTATATGAAATCTTAAATATATGACCAAACACTGTGTGTTGTTATATAAAACCTTAAATATATGACCAAACACTGTATGTTGTTATATAAACCCTAAATAAATGACCAAACACTGTGTGTTGTTTTATAAAACCTTAAATATATGACCAAACACTGTGTGTTGTTATATAAAACCTTAAATATATGACCAAACACTGTGTGTTGTTCGGTTTTAATGGGTAGTAATGTATTTACCATGGCGCGGTGCTTGGGGTAACAAGTTAACATTTCGTTTAATCATTAATACTGTCAAGCTGAGAAGTGGCTGGTTGAATTGTTAGCGTGCTGGACTCTTTATTAAGTATAAATGAGGTTGAGCCGTTTATAAGATGGTAGCCTTTCTTTTTTTTTTCTGTTGAGGTCAAAAGCAAACAATCTGCACAGTCCGTGGCGACTGCAAGCTGTATGGTCTTACATCCTCAGGCTTAGGTGTATAATCAGTGTGCTATGGCAATAGTTAACATCTACAACTGAAGACATTTGCTGCGGGAGGTGGAGTATCTGTGGTTATGCACTGTGTGCTATGATCTCGCTTTATAAATCAGTATACAGTAAAACTTCAGTATATCTGAGTATATCTGGATACACGTTTTTCTGGGTACGAGATTTAGCCCCCCTGTGTTTTGTTCCAGCCTACGAGGCAAAATCCAGGATGCCATCTGAAGAGACATAGATTGAAATGTATCCTTTCATAATTTTTGTTATTTTTTTCTGTTTGTGAATATTTTCATAGTTTTTAATATGTTTTTTGATTTAAGTGTATAATTTTTATTATCTCTGTTGATTTCAGTGTATCTTTTCAGAGTTTTTATTATCTTTTTCTCCTGCAGGGTATATTTTTCTGGTCTATTTTATTTTTGATTGAAGTGTATCTTTTCATAGTTTTTATTATCATTTTAGTAATGGTGTATATTTTTATAATTAGGGTTGTTTATCTAATCGTCTTCTTTGCGGTCACCAGCTGTAAATTCTGGCAGAAAGTTCTGGTTGTTCACCCGCTTCTGGACTTGTCCTTTTCCAGAACCTGCGTTTTGCATGCCCATCAATATTACAGATCTGGCTTACTTTAATGCAGACTGTTGGTTCCTCACCTCTCAGGCAGACGTATTCTTACTTCAAATGTAAGATCTCAAATTAGTCGACTCTTGCAACATGCTTGTTAGGAGGTAGCGAGACTCCCAGCCCTGCCCCAGTTGCTAGGGTCCTGCACCCACAAGCGGGAGGTTATCTATCAAATGTTTTCATATATTTTGTGTAAGAAACCACATAGGCTCAAGTTTTCTACATGTAAAACTCCTGTATTCCACAGTGGAAATTTGTGGTCATGCCCAGTGACATAGATAACAATGGACATACAAACCAAGCCAGCTATATTAGGTAAGACCTAGATGTATTCTTGGCCCTTATTTTTGTCTTATGCTGGGCTGAGCTGACAACTAAGATCAGGAATGAGATCATAAGAGAACAAGTCGGCACAGAACCAATCCTGGATTACATACAAAGACAGCAAGTGAAATGGTTTGCCCACTTAGAGAGAATGCCTTGTGACACCATACCATACAAAGCATACATGGAAAGAGAAGAAGGACGTAGAGCACGGGGTAGACCAAGAACAAGATGGAAGGATAACATCAGAGAAACTCTACAACAGCACGATGTGCCTATGGTCGAGGCAGCCAGAAGAGCTAGAAACAGAACCTTATATCTCCCTCGACACCCACAGCGGTAAAACAGGAAGTGAAGAAGAAGAAGAAGCTGAGCTGACAACCGGCAACATAGCACTCTGTAGATTGCCATTCCGTACTTTTTTCTTATCTTCAAGAGCCAGAGCAGAGTTTCAAATCCGACAATGTGGCTGTAGCAGTCTGAATGTATGTCCATCTTGCCTTTCCTCTGAGTGTTAAGTGTTAGCAAGTCACCCCCTCTCCCCCCGTGCACCACTTTCTTGATGACGATCTATTTCTTCTTTCCAACTAGTCGGTTGTTTCTGATTATTTAATATTGCATTAAAGTTATGTATTAACAGTAACATAATAACCTAGATGTTAAGTTTAAAATAATGTATGTGTATTTCTTAAAAAATTCTAATAATCATATTTTGTAATCCATCTTGATCTTGTAAAATAAACTTGCACAGCCTTTGTCTTTTTGGTATGTTTGGAAAATCGGTCATACTCCTTAACATTTGAAATCCTGTGACTGAAAAATCTGCCCAATCCAAGAAATAATTATGCAGCAAAGTAATTAAAAGATTTTGATATAATATTTATTAATTTTGCTTTCAGGTTTTTTCTAGACACAGCTGAAATGGCCAGGTGTGCAAAACATTTACATCATTTCACAAGCGACATCTGCTTGTATCCTATTACCACATTGAGTATCATGTACAAGAAAGAAATTCTGTGTGGACAGGAAGTTTCTGCATCTGTGTGGGAAAGTGAAGCTAAACCAAGCATTCTTAACTTTGCTCTAAAAAAGAGTGGATCCAATGAAGGCGATGATTTAGCTGTTGTTGCTACTGCCAGTTTTAGGGATAATCCAAGCTCAAAATTATGAAGTTGTTGTTTAGTTTTGTTTACATACCATTGATGTTGATTTGGCTACAGCTGAAAGCCTGTCCATATAATTAAAATGAATCTGGGTTGACTGTGTTCGATTAAGTCAATTATGCTGACTACCTGATTGCAGATATTACAGTTTGGCTGTAAAGATGCATAGTTACATCCAAGACAAAAACATCTCTGTCAAACTAAGAGAATGTAATCTTTGCTGCAAATGTACACCCTTGAGAAGTGTTTTGCAATTGTTCATTGTGAAGACGTTAACCCAGACACCAGTATATTGAGCGCAGATGTTTAGTTTTATAAAGTATCTCACCTCTGTGCCGTAGACTTTCTCAGTTTGATGCAAGTCTTCGAAATGCATAGCTTCATGCTGTCAGATCAAAGGTTCAAATGGTATTTTGATTTAATTACTTATGCTGCCCTCACCCTGCCCTCTTACAGTGCCCCCTCGCCCAGCACTCTTACAGTGCCCCCCTCACCCTGCACTCTTACAGTGCCCCCCTCACCCTGCCCTCTTACAGTGCCCCCTAGTGCGGGTGCCTCTGTGTATCATAGCACAGTACAACCCTGCAATATCTGACTGTCAAAATGGTCCTTAAAGATTTAGAGAATGCAGTCATTGTTTGTGTAAGCACTGAAGTATCTAGAGCTGAGGAGGTGACCAATAGAAGGAACTCTCTTCTTCTTCTTAGCATTCATCAGCTGTCAACTCTGGAAGAAAGTTCTGGTGTTTCATTGACTACTTGACTTTTAATCTTGTTCCTGAATAAGTTTTACATGTAAATCTGGCTCATTTGCATGCATTATGTTGGTTCCTCATGTTTATTGGGAGTAAATGAATAAATGCATGAGTAAATGAATAAGTTGAAAATTGGCATTACTGCCCTTGAGACAGCCACATATATAATCCACCCCATCTTCCAGTGCTACAGAAAAGAAAGTGTTTATATGCTAACAATGCCTGCTACAACCTAAGTAGAAGTTCATTTGTTTTTTCCCCTTTCATATTAAGCATCACTCATTTGCCCTGCTTAATCCCTCCAGAGAAGAGAATCATTCAGTACAAATCTTAGAATAAGCCCAGGCATGTACAGATGAAATGCTAGTCATAAAATGTACATTAAAAAACTTAAAGTATATCTCTTACATAATATTCTCAGTTTCTTGTTTGGAATTATTCTGCCTTGCATCAGTGTTGTATGTTATCATTCTTCAACATTGTTTACAGTTACTCTACCTTTCATCAGTGTTGTATGTTGTCATTCTTCAACATTGTTTACAGTTACTCTACCTTTCATCAGTGTTGTATGTTATCATTCTTCCACATTGTTTACAGTTACTCTACCTTTCATCAGTGTTGTATGTTATCATTCTTCCACATTGTTTACTGTTACTCTACCTTTCATCAGTGTTGTATGTTATCATTCTTCAACATTGTTTACTGTTACTCTACCTTTCATCAGTGTTGTATGTTGTCATTCTTCAACATTGTTTACTGTTACTCTACCTTTCATCAGTGTTGTATGTTGTCATTCTTCCACATTGTTTACTTTTACTCTGCCTTTCATCAGTGTTGTATGTTGTCATTCTTCCACATTGTTTACAGTTACTCTACCTTTTATCAGTGTTGTCTGTTGTCATTATCCACATTGTTTACAGTTACTCTGCCTTTCATCAGTGTTGTATGTTGTCATTATCCACATTGTTTACAGTTACTCTACCTTTCATCAGTGTTGTATGTTGTCATTATCCACATTGTTTACAGTTACTCTGCCTTTTATCAGTGTTGTATGTTGTCATTCTTCCACATTGTTTACAGTTACTCCATCTTTCATCAGTGTTGTATGTTGTCATTCTTCCACATTGTTTACAGTTACTCTACCTTTCATCAGTGCTGTATTTTGTCATTATCCACATTGTTTACAGTTACTCTACCTTTCATCAGTGTTGTATGTTGTCATTATCCACATTGTTCACAGTTACTCTGCCTTTCATCAGTGTTGTATGTTGTCATTCTTCCACATTGTTTACAGTTACTCTACCTTTCATCAGTGTTGTATGTTGTCATTCTTCCACATTGTTTACAGTTACTCTACCTTTCATCAGTGTTGTATGTTGTCATTCTTCCACATTGTTTACAGTTACTCTACCTTTCATCAGTGTTGTATGTTGTCATTCTTCCACATTGTTCACAGTTACTCTACCTATCATCAGTGTTGTATGTTGTCATTATCCACATTGTTCACAGTTACTCTGCCTTTCATCAGTGTTGTATGTTGTCATTATCCACATTGTTTACAGTTACTCTACCTTTCATCAGTGTTGTATGTTGTCATTCTTCCACATTGTTTACAGTTACTCTATCTTTCATCAGTATTGTATGTTGTCATTCTTCCACATTGTTTACAGTTACTCTACCTTTCATCAGTGCTGTATTTTGTCATTATCCACATTGTTTACAGTTACTCTACCTTTCATCAGTGTTGTATGTTGTCATTCTTCTACATTGCTTACAGTTACTCTACCTTTCATCACTGTTGTATGTTGTCATTCTTCCACATTGTTTACAGTTACTCTACCTTTCATCAGTGTTGTATGTTGTCATTCTTCCACATTGTTTACAGTTACTCTGCCTTTCATCAGTGTTGTATGTTGTCATTCTTCCACATTGTGTACAGTTACTCTACTTTTCATCAGTGTTGTATGTTGTCATTCTTCCACATTATTTACAGTTACTCTACCTTTCATCAGTGTTGTATGTTTCATTCTTCTCCATTGTTTACAGTTACTCTACCTTTCATCAGTGTTGTATGTTGTCATTCTTCCACATTGTTTACAGTTACTCTGCCTTTCAACAGTGTTGCAGGTTGTCATTATCCACATTGCTTACAGTTACTCTACCTTTCATCAGTGTTGTGTGTTGTCATTCTTCCACATTATTTACAGTTACTCTACCTTTCATCAGTGTTATATGTTTCATTCTTCTCCATTATTTACAGTTACTCTACCTTTCATCAGTGTTGTATGTTGTCATTCTTCCACATTGTTTACTGTTACTCTACCTTTCATCAGTGTTGTATGTTGTCATTCTTCCACATTGTTTACAGTTACTCTACCTTTTATCAGTGTTGTATGTTGTCATTCTTCCACATTGTTTACAGTTACTCTACCTTTCATCAGTGTTGTATCTTGTCATTCTTCCACGATGTTTACAGTTACTCTACCTTTCATCAGTGTTGTATCTTGTCATTCTTCCACATTGTTTACAGTTACTCTACCTTTCATCAGTGTTGTATCTTGTCATTCTTCCACGCTGTTTACAGTTACTCTACTTTTCATCAATGGTGTATGTTGTCATTTTTCCATTTTATTTGGCATTATTCTGTCTTGTATCAGTGTGTGTGTGATCAGTCTTCCATGTTCTTTAGAGTTATTCTTTCTTTCATCAGAGGATTTTGCGGTCATTCTGCAATTGTTTTAAATATTTAATTATTGAAATAATTTGAAATTGATGAGAGAATAAAATGGTTAACTGGCCAACCATACCTAACTTCAACACTACTACCATGGCTCATTAGGGTAGAAAACTATAGGTATGATTTTTGACTGCTAGAGTTTCCCACAATGATTGCTTGAAAAAGATACATTGAGAAAGGTAGATGATTATATATAAATACATGAAAGAGTGGGTTTTAAAGTTACCTGCTGATGCTTTGGTAGCAGAATCTATATGTTGATTTTAACAACAGAATGAGTACAATGGGAACTGCACAAAAGAAGTAAGAAAAAAATACTCACTTTAGTAATGCTGAGACCAAACAGCGTGAAGAACCTTTGGCATAGCACCTGCAAGTGAGTTAAACATTTGTAGATCATGTGTCTTTTCTATGGCAACTCATAGATGTGGATCATGGACTTCTGCTCAATCAATGCAGAAACAAATCGGAGCTTTTGAACTGAAATGCTAAATAAACATTGTTAGAATACAATCAACCAAGAAGAAGAAAAACAGCGACATCTACATGATCTGAACATCGATGAGAATTGGCCCATAAACAGAATCCTGTCCCGAGAGCTGAAGTATTTTGGCCATGTTAAAGATCATGGTGGCCTAGAGAAAACTGTGATGGAGGGTACAGTTTCCTGAAAAAGATGGAGAGGCAGACCTCCAAGAATGTGGATACAAGTCACAAGATGCATTGGCTATGAAAGCACACAGGGCTGGAGAACTGACTGGAGAAGAAAGACTTTTAGAAGGGCTGTGATGAGAGCGACGTTCTGTACAGGACCTGCTGATGGATGGCCATGATCAACATTGTAAATGGTTGCCCAAACAGTTAAAAGTCTAGACGCTCATGTGAGAGACCCAGGTTCTACTTCCAGTAACGCTATGAACGTTTTTCTGTCGGTGCAAATCAACACCCTACCCTGCACAGTTCGTGGCGACAGTACTAGCATTGTGGTCTTAAATGCTCAACTCTCCTGCCCTACACCGTCCTGAAAATGGTGCATAGAGGCAGCAACACATGTTTTTGTAAAAGTCCAATTATGGCAAAGATAAGGCCTCCACACACACTGTCCTTAAAGACAAGCACTGGATGAAAGTATCCGATGCAGCCATCCTTAGCGAGAAGACGCAACAACGAGCTTCTATTTATTTACAAGAGAGCTTCAGATTAAAATGTTAAAAGTGGAACAGACATTACAATTTGTAACAATGAGCGTAGTAGGAAATTTCAAAGCAGTGTGACTTCTGTGACAGTCCTTTCACTCGGTGTTGCTAATTCGGTCGTTAACATTCTATCTCGTTCACTCGGTGTTGCTAATTCGGTCCTTAACATTTTATCTCGTTCACTCGGTGTTCCTAATCTGGTCGTTAACATTCTATCTCGTTCACTCGGTGTTCCTAATTCGGTCGTTAACATTCTATCTCGTTCACTCGGTGTTGCTAATTCGGTCGTTAACATTCTATCTCGTTCACTCGGTGTTCCTAATCTGGTCGTTAACATTCTATCTCGTTCACTCGGTGTTCCTAATCTGGTCGTTAACATTCTATCTCGTTCACTCGGTGTTCCTAATCTGGTCGTTAACATTCTATCTCAGAAGTTGTACTTTATACGCCTGCTGAACTGACAGGAATGCACAGCCATACTAGACCTTTATTCAGCGATGAACTTTTGTAACTTGCTTTCACCCCTTCACTGATTAAAAAAAATAAATAAAGACAAGAACGCTGCTCCTCTTTGATGCATGTTAAAAGTTGTACAACCATCTTTAAACTGTCGTTATGACATCACCGTGCTCAACACACCTGACATCCTTGCCAAAAATATTGACATGTTACTAGACAACGGCTTCTTCTTCTTCTTTTGTCATCTAACTGATACCAGGTTGTAGCCCAGTGTCGTGATTTTCTTTATTTGTCTTTCGCTTCTTGTGTTGCTTGAGTAATGGATTTGTTCATATTTTTTGCACGTTTTAGCTACATAATTCATCCATCTCTTTCTTGGTCTCCCTTTCGCCTTCCTTCCAGATGTTCTATTATTTAAAAAAAAAGTCTCATATGCAGTCTGGTCTGGCTGCATTCTCACTAAATGGCTGAACCATTTCATTCTTGGTCTGTCAATATAATCCAGACATGATCTTATTCCAACTTTCTCTCAAATGCTGGTATTCATAACCCTGTCTCGTCTAGTATTGTTAGTCACTAACAAAAATGGCATGATTACTGATATTTTAATCAAAATTTTAAGGTTTTCATTTAAAGCTCACCACATAAATTGTTTGGGAACCACAACGACACTGAAATAACACGAAAAGTAAATAGTTAAAACACATAATCATTGATCGACACTTACAGAAACAAAAACAAGAAGTGAAGATTAAGTGACACCCCCTGCTTCTATGAATATAAATTAACACGTGTCTTTTTATTTATTCAATACCAATTCAACATCTGGCGCAACTGGCTCATGTTCAGGGTATTAAGTACTGGCTGTAAAAATTACCCGTACCTGTTAAATAAATGATATTTCAGTCTCATGTGGTTTTCTGAATATGTTGAAAGTGAGGGGAGCTGCTGGCTGAGCGGTTACAACATGGGCTTTCATGCCGAAGACCGGGTTTTGACTCCCGGTAAGGGTGGAGTTTTCATGTCGCGGGGCTGGCGGAAGGGCTACAAGGTCTCGAGGCATGGTGTCCGCCTCGAGTGCTAGAGGTTCCGGGACTTCTGATAATGCCCCCTGTTCTCTGGGTAGTGAGATTGGACGCCCGTGTGCATTGTTGCGCTTGTAAAAAATCCCTTGTCAATTTGAAATCTAAAAGAATAGCAACGGTGCAAAATTTTGAGTTAACAAAGTATTTCACGATCCTGAGCTTCTTCCGACTCAGACTTGAGTTTAAAGAAGAACGGAGCACTTATGGGTTACTAACCATGTGCCATGATGTTGATCTGTTGTTCAAACTTCTGTCGCAGGGCAAAAATAAATATTCTAACTGCACAGTCTGTGGCGACAGCACTAGTCATGCGGCCTTTAATCCTCAGACTCAAGGCTTTCTTGTCTACATCGCCCTAAAAAAGTGGCATGTGCAGACAGTAGTGACAGTATTTGTTTTTAGTTTAATGTAAATAAAATTGATGGATAAGACTCAGCACCGGAATATATCATGGATACTTGCCGAGAGATGCAGGACAGTGAGCAGGTTGTTGAACTGGCTACTGTCAGATTCTGTCTGCAGCGAGTCACCTTAGGTTAAGGCGGACTGGGTGAAAGTTATTTGTGATAAAGTGGATATTTCGGCAGAACAGTATCCATGTCTGGGGAAGACTGATTCAGTCTATAGTGAGCGGAGGGTCTGAATAACTCTCACTGCACCGGGGCAAGATTTGGGAACATTTAACTACTTCTATGCTGAATAGATTTCACTTAAACTCATTCTGTGAAAGACTAGTTCTTCACTTTAACTCGTTCTATGAAAAAAAAAAAAATGGTTTTTCACTTTATCCTTAAATGGGAAGGAGCAGTTTTTTTCATACACTCCTTCTATGAGAAAGAGGAGTTTTCACATACACTTCTTCTATGATAAAGAACAGTTGTCACATACACTCCTTCTATGAGAAAGAACAGTTTTCACATACACTCCTTCTATGAGAAAGAACAGTTTTCACATACACTCCTTATGTGAGAAAGAACAGTTTTCACATACACTCCTTCAATCGGATACGCTCCTTCTATGAGAAAGAGCAGTTTTCACATACACTCCTTCTATGAGAAAGAGCAGTTTTCACATACGCTCCTTCTATGAGAAAGAGCAGTTTTCACATACACTCCTTCTATGAGAAAGAGCAGTTTTCACATACGCTCCTTCTATGAGAAAGAGCAGTTTTCACATACACTCCTTCTATGAGAAAGAGCAGTTTTCACATACACTTCTTCTATGGGATACACTCCTTCTATGTGAAAGACCAGTTTTCACATAAACTCCTTCTATGAGAAAGAGTTGCACTCAATTTATAATGATTATATCTGAATGAGTAAAAAAGAGATATTGTGACATGTATCCATTCATTAACCCACACATGCATGGCTGCATCAATTCATCAATTCACATTAACCCTCTATGAATCAATCCATCCGTTAAACAATGAGTGTTTGTTTATTTATACATCGAATGCTGTCTGAAAACGTCACATTTTAACCAGATAGATTTATTGTGTGTAAAAACATACCACTTTATTTCTATTATTTAAAAAAAAAAAAAAAAAAAAAGCACATAAGCACATTTAAAATAAAATCTTATGAAGGGTATCTTTTATTCTGAAAATTGGTCCAAATAACAAAATTTTGAGAATCGTTGTTGTCCCTGCGATGTGAACTTTGACCCTAATGTTCATTACGGAAACTGAACTATACTTGTACAGGGACACGACACTACCCAGTGGGTATCAGTAAGTGTTACATCTGTCTACACATAGTTCAAGCTACATATTATCCGTATCCTGTAATTCATTGCTTATATTTGTAAACGAGAAGGAAGACTGTGGGCCACCTCAACTCAAAAAGAATTTACACAGACAGTGCCGGCTTCAACAAGGTACCGTTGCGTTACATCTAACAGCAGTGTAGCAGTAAAACTAGCTAGTCGGTCGGTCTGTTACAGTTGATTATATTAATGTATTAGCTAACCAACTCATTTACTGAACAGTCATCGGTTCTTTCGCAATAAACGACCTCATATGACGTCATGGGACAGTCCAATATTTTCTTAGGGTGGTAAGACCGGGTTTCCCTAGCCGGCTGCCTGTGTTTTTTCCCCCTGTTTTCTATCTTTCTTAAAAGGCGTTGCAAAGGTTTTCGCGCGTTTCTTCACCCGACGGGCTCTCTCCAGCGGCTTGTGTTCAGTCTTCAACTCCAGGAAATTCGTTGAATTAGCAGTATCGGTGCCTGAAAGGATATTACCAAAGTACCCAGTCATCATTTATGTCTTTTCACTGCTGGCAGAGACGGAGCCCGTATGAGCTTGTTTTGAGTGCAATGACGTGGCTGTCCATCATAAATAATTGATGTTGTTAAGCACTCAAATAAAATTTACTCTGTGTTGATTATAGGGCTGGTAAACCAGCAACGTCGCCGTCTGTAGCTTAAGCGTTGCCAATGGGATTCGTAATTTCGTTGTGCAGGTTCGATCCCGGCCGTGGGCAATTTGGCAATAGACTGCAATGCATTGGTTTCCAGCGCGGACCCGTCAGGGGCAATAGCAAACTACAGACCGCAAAAATTGCCTAAGAAACTTCAAATAACCACGAATATATACATGGAGTTGTATACAAATCACGAACTTGCCCTATCACAGACCTATGCTGCAGTTACCTTACACTGGCCTATGCTGCAGTTACCTTACACTGACCTATGCTGCAGTTACCTTACACTGACCTATGCTGCAATTACCTTACACTGACTTATGCTGCAGTTACCTTACACTGACCTATGCTGCAGTTACCTTACACTGACCTATGCTGCAGTTACCTTACACAGGCCTGTACTGCAGTTACCTTACACTGACCTATGCTGCAGTTACCTTACACTGACCTAGGCTGCAGTTACCTTACACTGGCCTATGCTGCAGTTACTTTACACTGACATATGCTGCAGTTACCTTACACTGACCTATGCTGCAGTTACCTTACACTGACCTATGCTGCAGTTACCTTACACACTGACCTATGCTGCAGTGACCTTACAGTCACCTTACACTGACCTATCCTACACTGACCTTACACTGACATTTACCTTACTGACCTTACACTGACCTTACACTGACCTTAAGCTGACCTTACACGTGTGGCGAATATTAAAGATAGGGATCTTTGCATTACAGCCTCTGCTGAGATGAGACTTTCATGGTCTCTAGAACCGCTGGTGTGTGGTGATGGGGGTTGGGGCTTTAGACAAATTGGGGCCTCTCTTCAATAAACTGTATATAGAGTGTGCGTGTTGGGAGAGTGGCTAAATCTATAACAGTAAGGGGTTTTAGCTGCGCTCCACCTCCCTGCAAAGGAGTTCTCTTTTTTACGTTTTCGTTTACACAATATGAAATTATATTTATTTGTCATTCATCACTTTTTTATCATTATTATTTTTATTATATTCTTATTAAGCACTTAAAGAAAGCTGTTTTTCCTTGAACACCCGCTAGAAAAAAATGTGTAATGGGCCTCAGTTCCGCCACCCTAAATGTTTTGTTTGTGTCTGTACACCCAGGGTACTTTAGTATCTTTGGTTGAAATATTGTGCAGAAACGTTGGAATAGTACGGTTTCATGTTACAGTGAGAGTGATTAAATCAAGTCTCACTTGCTATGCAGAAATGACCACTCAGCTGTGTGACTACCGCCTGGAAATTGATATGAAGAAGTTCAAATCCGAATGCTACTTTCCTGGAGTCACATACGATGACTTTGATAGAGCAGGTAAAATCCTTTCCTCGTTTACAAGTATTCTAGTGTATGTAAAGGCTGTCGCAGCCTGTTGTGGGTGGAGGTTTCCTAACAATGGGCTCTCCCAACCAATGTAAGCTTTCTAATGTTTCATTAGAAATTAAGTTTATTATATGCCCCAAGCGCCAATGGCTTTATACTTTTTTTCTTTCTCATTCATAACGCTGTGATCTGCTTTATTGAAAGATCTACTGATTAGAAGGGTGTAGCGGTTGAACGCTCGCCTGTGGGCTCGAAGGTCGCGAATCCAAGTCTGCATCGAGTCGAGTTTTTCTTCTCTGAAAATCGACACAGCCTTAAATAGAAAATGTAATTTGGAATGTTGAATTAAAAATCGACATCACAGCACTCGTTAACCCACATAAGTGCTACTTCCCCATCTTCAGCAGCAATCCAAGCGTTAAAATTCCGATGATACCAGTAACTGTCTGATTGTATATCGTCTCGCCCTTTCCCTGAGTTTTGAGCGTCGGCCAGATCTATCGTACAGCTTGAATTTCAAGTGGATTTCAAGCTGTACGATTGACATGACCAATAAGACACGTTTTTTTTTTGGGGGGGGGGGGAGGCTGTGGGGGGGGGGGGAGGTGCCTAGTTGACCATGTTCTTAGTGCACTTGTTTCCACAGCGAAACGCACACACCGTCTTGAGGTGACAGGTTTGATTACAGGCAGGGTAACTATAGCTTTCGATTTGTATGTTGTCTAGTATGTTCTTCTGTCTTTCTACTTTTCTATGAGTGCCTGTCAATACATTTTCTGTTACTTTATTATTATATAATATTTCCCCTTCTGTTAATTTATGGGAATCACAGGGTCTAGGGGAGTAAAGGCGGCCGGCATAATGTTGACCACATCACCCACTGAGTACTGACTGGTCTACACAACATCGGTTCAGCATGATAAACTCAATGAGTTGTGTTATAAGTTATGAGTTAGATTATCTTCACAGCACTCCAGACACATCCACATGCGCTCAGATTTCCCTCTCAACATATTCACCAGCGTCGTGCCGGTAATAGTATCAGTCCTGTGTTGGTTAACAAGACTTCTTGTGCGTCCGGTATGCTTCTCATGCTTGGCTGTGCCAATCTTTACTCCCAATTCGCCTCTTCTTGCTTCCAATATCCCCAGAACGTCCTATCTCTCGAAGGGCAATGACAAAATCTGCGTGATCCATGAGCCGGCCATCTTCAATTAATGAAGCACCTGCCAGTCTATCAGTACTCAATGTAGCGAAAGGCGTTGAAAAATGTTCTTTTGTACTATTTAGCTTAGTCTTGATCCTAGTATATGTTATCAAATTAGTTATCTGTTTCCTTTTAAATGATGCAATCTAAATTTCCATTTAAATGATGCAATCTAAATTTCCCTTTAAATGATGCAATCTAAATTTCCCTTTAAATGATGCAATCTAAATTTCCCTTTAAATGATGCAATCTAAATTTCCCTTTAAATGATGCAATCTAAATTTCCCTTTAAATGATGCAATCTAAATTTCCCTTTAAATGATGCAATCTAAATTTCCCTTTAAATGGTGCAATCTAAATTTCCCTTTAAATGATGCAATCTAAATTTCCCTTTAAATGATGCAATCTAAATTTCCCTTTAAATGATGCAATCTAAATTTCCCTTTAAATGGTGCAATCTAAATTTCCCTTTAAATGATGCAATCTAAATTTCCCTTTAAATGATGCAATCTAAATTTCCCTTTAAATGATGTAATCTAAATTTCTCTTTAAATGATGCAATCTAAATTTCCCTTTAAATGATGCAATCTGAATACCAACTGTACCAGGCAACCTGTCGCCATGGAAGATAAGTCGTATGTTTGAGGCTGGTCGAGCTGTTCCCATGCGACAAGGCAACTTCATGGATTTCACAGACCTCATGAAAGGCAGCGAGTCTACATACTTTGTGCTTGGTGGCATTTATTACTTTGAGCCTAGTTTATGGGACATAGCTCGTCGACATCAGTATTTCCCATACAAGGTAGGTCTTTCTGCTGTCATCATCATCATCAACATCATCATCATGTTTATCATCGTCATCGTCGTCGTCATCGAGCTTTATTTACATCATGGGAACTGTGGCGCCCAGTGGACCTAATTGCCAACAAAGATTTACCTAAACCATAGGGGGCTTCACTGCCTACACGTTTTCATCTTATCCTCGAGTGATTGCCCCTGGCATATCCCCGGATATCTATTTTTAAACCCCCATGTGCCTCGCTAGACCATTGTCTTGACATCAACCCGGCTGCCACGAGATACGAAGATAAGTGCTATTGTGTATATGTTTAGTATTATCTATTCTATGCATGTGCTAAAGAAGGCTCCATAGCCGCAACGTTCACGTTTTGTTTGTGTTTGTTATATGGTAAAGCTCGCTGATATACTTTTCGTTCTGTTTTATATCTTTGATTAAAGTTAGTTGCGTATCCTTTGCAGGGCACTGCAGAATTATCACAGCATTTTTTTGGCTTGTGATTTTTTTAGGCAAATTGTACGTTCAGTAGTTTGCCACTGCCCACGAAACGGTCGGCTCTTGATACCACTTTCGAAACCAATGCAAAGCGATCAGCTGCCAAATCGCATGCATCTGGAATCGAACCCGGCACCTCCACATTACGAACACCACCTTTACTAGCAACATTAATATTCTGTTTTGCGTGCTGGGTGGCAAAATGGTGGAAGGAAAAAAAAAGGAGGGGGGGGGGTGGGGAGGGTAATGACTTGATTGTGTGCTTACATTGTTGATGCTGATATCGATGATTAAGACACTAATCTTTATTAATCTTTTCTATGTGGACATATCTTTGATTAATGTTGTATTCTGTTATGGCATTTTATCACATTCTTCATCACTTCACATAAAAATAAAAGTGACAATTACTCACCACAAAAGGTCTAGTAAAGTCTTTTTCATTTTCTTGTCTAGTTCTGTATTGCTTTTCAGCGTCAGGTTTGTAAGAGGCTTCAGATGAGAGCGTCGGTTTTTTCCTTCGTAAATGTTGTATTTACGTCCTCAGATATTTCTTATATCGATTGCTTGCACGGTCAACACATGGCTCTATCTATTGCTTGCATGGTAGACATCTGGCTCTATCTCCATTGTGTCTATGTGACAGGGTTATCTGTGGTGCACTGTCTGGTGATAGTTGTGTCTGGTGATAGTTGTGTCTGGTGATAGTTGTGTCTGGTGATAGTTGTGTCTGGTGATAGTTGTGTCTGGTGATAGTTGTGTCTGATGATAGTTGTGTCTGGTGATAGTTGTGTCTGATGATAGTTGTGTCTGATGATAGTTGTGTGTGGTGATAGTTGTGTCTGGTGATAGTTGTGTCTGGTGATAGTTGTTGTGTCTGGTGATAGTTGTTGTGTCTGGTGATAGTTGTGTCTGGTGATAGTTGTGTCTGGTGATAGTTGTGTCTGATGATAGTTGTGTCTGGTGATAGTTGTGTCTGGTGATAGTTGTGTCTGGTATAGTTGTGTCTGGTGATAGTTGTGTCTGGTGATAGTTGTTGTGTCTGGTGATAGTTGTTGTGTCTGGTGATAGTTGTTGTGTCTTGTCATAGTTGTGTCTGGTGATAGTTGTGTCTGGTGATAGTTGTGTCTGGTGATAGTTGTGTCTGGTGATAGTTGTGTGTGTCTGGTGATAGTTGTGTCTGGTGAATGTTGTGTGTGTCTAGTGATAGTTGTGTCTGGTGATAGTTGTGTCTGGTTATAGTTGTGTCTGGTAATAGTTGTGTCTAGTGATAGTTGTGTGTGTCTGGTGATAGTTGTGTCTGGTAATAGTTGTGTCTAGTGATAGTTGTGTCTGGTGATAGTTGTGTGTGTCTGGTGATAGTTGTGTGTGTCTGGTGATAGTTGAGTCTGGTGATAGTTGTTGTGTCTGGTGATAGTTGTGTCTGGTGATAGTTGTGTCTGGTGATAGTTGTGTCTAGTGATAGTTGTGTCTAATGATAGTTGTGTCTGGTGATAGTTGTGTCTGATGATAGTTGTGTCTGGTGATAGTTGTTGTGTCTGGTGATAGCTGTGTCTGGTAATAGTTGTGTCTGGTGATAGTTGTGTCTGGTGATAGTTGTGTCTGGTGATAGTTGTGTCTGGTGATAGTTGTGTCTGGTGATAGTTGTGTCTGATGATAGTTGTGTCTGGTGATAGTTGTCTCTGGTGATAGCTGTGTCTGGTGATAGTTGTGTCTGGTGATAGTTGTGTCTGGTGATAGTTGTGTCTGGTGATAGTTGTGTCTGGTGACAGTTGTGTCTGGTGATAGTTGTGTCTGATGATAGTTATGTCTGGTGATAGTTGTGTCTGATGATAGTTGTGTCTGGTTATAGATGTGTCTGGTGATAGTTGTGTCTGGTGATAGTTGTGTCTGGTGATAGTTGTGTCTGGTGATAGTTGTGTCTGGTGATAGTTGTTGTGTCTGGTGATAGTTGTGTCTGGTGATAGTTAATTGTGTCTGGTGATAGTTGTGTCTGGTGATAGTTGTGTCTGGTGATAGTTGTGTCTGGTGATAGTTGTGTCTGGTGATAGTTAATTGTGTCTGATGATAGTTGTGTCTGGTGATAGTTGTGTCTGGTGATAGTTGTGTCTGGTGATAGTTGTTGTGTCTGGTGATAGTTGTGTCTGGTGATAGTTTTGACACATGTCCAAATAATTTGACTGGTTGTCTAGAAAGGCAGCGCTGCAAAACAAAGTACTGGTACTGTACTGGTACTGTACTGTGTACTGTACTGTGTACTGTTTCATCCAACCAAAAAAAGTCCATAATGTACTCAGTCTTGACCTCTAAAGTAGCAAAGATTGAGTTCACCGGGCTTTGTTCCGAGGTCATGGCATCGTGTTAGCATTACCATGTTGTATCTCTCAATCGTCAGATTATCAGTGAACTTGTGGGCCTTGGTCAAACATCCTTCACCATTCGTGAAAGTCTCATCAACCTCCTCGACAACAAGGAGCTGGCATCCTTCCTCTGCAAACTGGTGTACGTCGACAGAACAACCCGCCGTCCTCAGCCTTTCCCGTCCTGGCACCGCGGGAAATACCAGGATGTACCGTCAAAAGATATCCAGATTGATGTTCCCCGGTCTAGCGTCCCTGCCACAGCTTACACTGTAAGTAAAGGTGAATGTACAGTCGGGAGAAGTGAACCAGCGTCTTTGCACACGCTTACAAAACTATAACTGCTCTGCCACCAATACGGACAGCTGATAAGAAACTGTCCACCTTTGTCGCCATTTGCACGCAACTCCGTAGCTACAGCAACGTTCCTCCATTTACCCTAAAGTGTCAACTTTGGTACCCATTACCTAGAGGCTGAGTGAACCCCGGGAACAGCCCGGCTTCGAACACCGACGTGTGCTGCGGTGAGTCGCAGCTGGCTTAGAAAACGAGTCTCGTATCAACTGCGATAACGCAGCCCCTGTATACTGTAAGTTCTCAAAGCTAGAGCCAATGCACTTCGATCAAGTAAACTATTGCTCATTCTTTTTGAAGTCGTTCAAGACCTAAGAAATCATTATGTGTTGCACACTTTTCACATCACCGTCATTTACACATCACGTTGGGCGAGTAGCCGTTTCTTTTTTTTTTTGCTGTACAACTTTTTTAGATCGTGTCTAGGAAATCCAGTTAGGCACATTAGGTTTGCGGAAACGAGGCGCCAAAGAGAAACCCGACAAT